CTACAATAATCCTTGGACTGAAGACCTTCTACTTCCTCCCTCGCTCCTCCCAGCCCAGATATAGACAGACTGGGATCAACCGATAGGGAGAATCCCTGGGAATGTGGAAGCTGCCCCAAGGACCCTGAAGGCAGGAATCTGGTCTCTACCTGAGAGTGGCCACAAGAAGTGGCTCCAGGCAGGGGCAGGGAATGGGGTCTGTGGATCTGGGTCCCCTCGCAGACCAGAGGGAGGCAGTGTTGGCACCGGTGGCTCACATCAGCCTCACACAGCCTGCAGCTCCCCCTGCAGGCGACTCAGCTCCTCCAGCTCCTGCTTGTGGCGGTCTGTCTTGTGTGCCACCAAGGAGCGGTAGAAATGCAGGGCGAAGGCTACGAACACAAGCCCCACAGGTACCATGATTGCCGTGGAGGCCATGGCCGCTTGCCAGCCTGGTCCGTGGGCCCCTCCACCAACACATGCTTGCCGGGGGGGGCAGGCCTCAGACGGCTCAGACTGTGACGGAGCTACAGAAGTAGAGGAGGGCTTAGAAGCTGGACTAAGGGAGGTGGTCAGTGGTAACAGAGTCCCAGGCACCTGGGAGGCAGGTACCACGGAGGCTGGTGTGCCCAAGGGCGTCCCAATGGGCACAAACTTGACCCAGCCCACCAGGACAACTTCAGCGAGGAAGAGGAAGGTGCCCAAAGCAGTGGAGAAGCCCCAAGCCAACTCCACGTAACGGTGCAGTCGCTGGTGTGGCGACTGGTGGACAGAGTTGAGGTTGTGGATGTTGCTAACGGCTTCTATGTGAGGCAGCAGACACGTGGAGACCATGAGTGCAAAGAGGTGCACAGCTACGAGCACGGTGGTGCAGGCACTAAAGGCCACCAGCAGGCCTGGCGGGTACTCGTGGTCGCTCTCCAGCTGTACCTCCACCATGGCCACCTGTGGGGACAGAGAAGACGGACTGAGGGTTGTCTTGCCTATTGCTATACATCACCGGTGTATCCCTAGGGCATAGAACGGTGGTAAGGCTTCGTGTCATTCTGGCTTTGGTTTCTGCACCTGGCTATGGAGAGGGCTGACACATCGACTGAAAATCTTCCCTTGTTATGGGGGTTAAAAAAGCAGATTCTGGGGGCACCTGGGTGGCTGGGTCAGTTAAGGGTCTGCCTTCGGCTCAGGTCATGATCCTGGGATTGAGCCCCATATCAGGCTCCCTGCTCAGTGGGGGTCTGCTTCTCCCTCTCCCTAATAAATAAAATCTTAAAAAAAAAAAAAAAAAGAAGCAGATTCCAGAGCTGGGCTTCCTGGGTTCACTCAGCTCTAAAAGCTGTGGAATCTTCAGCAAGTGATTTAGCTCTATGCCTCCATTTCCTCATTTGGAAAGTGGGGATTGATAATGGCTCCTTACTTGTCTTCCAGGGTTCTTGTGAAAATTAAATGAGATAATGTACACCAAGCACTAAGCACAGTATAAGGCGCACAGTAAGCACTAGGCGTTTGTTACTTATTAGTAGGGTTATTAACTGTTATTAATACTGGTGTTATTATTAGTGGTCCTAAACACTGTTAAGAGGTTCTGGGAGCAGGACTGGCCCCAGTCCTGTCAGCCAGTCCTGCCAGGGGAGAGCAAGGCTCTTAAGAACACTGAATGAAGTCCAAAGCCAGAGTTTGCAAAGTGGTGTACCATGAAGCCAAGCCAACTTTACACACGTTTTGCTTGGCTCATACAGTGTGTTTTTTAAGAAACTAGTCTGTACTTTTAAAACTCAAGAGATTTCCTATAAATATCCTTATTTCCAGATCCTCTTGAAAATTTGGAAGATCTGGTTACACCAGACCCACATTCCTCCATTTCAACTATAGCTAGATTTGGCTCATGAACACTCCCTTGGACAGGTCATGGGGTCTCCTGATAGCCACAGTCCCCACTCAGCCAACTTGGCGTCCATAGTACCCGCCTGTCCTTGGCAAACATTTGCTTTGATGATTCTAGGGTTGTATAAATTCGGATTCCAGAGCCAGACTACCTACGTTCAAATTCTGCCACTTCCTTGCTGTGGGACCCTGGGCAGGTGTCTTAACATCTCTGATCCGGTTTTCTCATCTGTAAAACAGCCATAGCAGTGGTACCTACTTCACAGAATAATAAATGTGAAACACATAAAAGCTGGTACTGCATGACAGGGCAATACAATTTGTATTGTGTTTTTCTAACCCAGGCTACCTAGATCCCAGAATCTGGATCTCTCCCCATGCCTGGTTCTTGCAGGATCCATTAGATTGCTCTGGGGCTGGAGGAAGGAAGAAGGTACACAGCCTGGAGGGTGGTGGTAGGGAGACAAGGCTAAGTATTTTGGGAAATTGGGCCATGGCGAGTGTTCGCAGTTTTCCACAGACAGAGATCTGGGCCAGGCCTAGGCCTGGTTTCTGCTAGAGCCTGACCCAGCCTTGCTCTTCCCCCGCAGGACTGGGGCCACTCCTGCCCTCAGAACCTACTCATCTGGCCTTTAGAAGGACCTGGCATTTAAGCTGTCGCCCCAGCAACGTGCAAGTCCAGCAGCAGGCTTGGGAACAGGCTGGACGGTGGGATGGATGGGGGTGGGGGACCTCCCTCAGCTAGGTCCATGAAGTCACTTCCTTCTCTCTGCAGTCTGTACAGGTGAAAGGGAGCCACTTCCTGTCCCTAGCTGACCCCGTGTCAGGAAAAGTGGGCTGGCCCATACAGAAAACCAGAGACCTTGGATGACCCCTAGGGATAGACTTTTCCTCTCATCATTCAAATAAAGGCTTTGGTAAAGAGCGGGGCAGAAACTAGCCCCATCTCCACGTACTCCTATGAAGATCCCCCTCCAGCTTGCTTTCTCCTTCCTGTCATGATGTGGAGAAAGTCTGCACTAACAACAGTTCAGGGATCCAGGGTCCCAGTTCGTTCTGCAACCTTCATCTGCTGAGCACCCTTGGCAGAGGCACTAGTCCATTCGGGGCCTGGGTTTCTGTGCCTGCCCAGTAAACAGGCAGTCTGAGCCATCTCCGATGTGTGTGTCGCTCTGACATGCTGGGATCTAGAGCTTCCCAAGAGTCAGCTCATCCCCCCGCAACTATTTGCAGGCTACAGAGGGCACACCCTCTATGATCTCACAGTTTCCCACTGGCCCTCGAGGATTTGGATGGCTGGCCAGGGCCACAGAGCTGGCCACAGGCCCAGAGGACGCAGGATTTGTGTCTGCTGACTCCTCCTGACCCCAGGACTCCTCCAGCCCCACTTCCTGCGAGGCCACCTCAGGGACCGTTAGCTGGTATCATCCTCCCACACGGGCCGTTTATCAGATCAGAAATCATGTATCCGCTTCCCAATCACCTTCTTTCCCCAGCAGCTTCCTCAAGGGCCATCCCCTCTGCTCAAAGCTGTCCTGGGTTACACCAAGAACGCTGTGTGACTGCTAGGGACTGGCCACCCTCCTGGGGGACTACTGCATCCAGTTTATTTTCTTTGACTCTCCCAGTTCTGTTTATACAACCCCCACATAGCTCTGATTTGCCCTGTGCTCTCTCATGGGAACTTGGTAATAACTTCTGCCTGGAGCCACGCTCCTGGACCTCTCCGCCCCACCCTTGCATATATACTCCGCTTCGTGATCTGTCTTTCCCTCATGACACCTTTGGGGCTTTTTACTTCCAGTGGCCCACTTCATGCTAAGGGTTTACACACACACGCGCGCGCGCGCGCGCGCGCAAAAAGGGAATCGAGTAGTCCCTTGGGACCTTGTTGGTGCTCCTGTTACCTCTTAAAAACCCTTCCCTTTCCTCTGTCCCATCTCCCTTGGGTACCCGTTCGCTTCGCCCACGACCCCCTGCCCCCATGTGCCTCAGCCCCACCCCGGGAACCCCTTGCCTCCCCTCACCATGGCGAAGCCCGAGAGCAGGGCAGACGTGCGGCTGGAGGCTTTGAGCTTGGCCCGGCTGAGGTAGAGGCGGCGCCAGCTGAGCGCCCGCAGCGAGTGCTGACTGGCCCCCATAAGGTCCAGGTAGCCGCGGTGCACGAACTCTCGGTACGTGGCCGAGCCCGCGGGGCTCTCGGCCTCCGGGTTCAGCGGGGCCTGTTCGCCCGCGTCCCCCTCGCCGCCCTTCATCCTGGGGGCCGCAGCACTGGGCGGGCTGGGTGGTCACGGGGGCACCGAGTCGCCCCGGAGGCCCCACGAGGGGCGGCCCAGGCCGGCGGAAGGCCCCATCCCCCGGCGGGGCGAGCGGGGATGCTGGCGGCGGGCGCCCAGGAAAAGGCGCCCGGGCGGAGCAGGAAAAGCAGGCGTCCGCTGGCAACCCCAGGGGCCGGAGCTGGAAAGCAGAAGCCGAAACCGGAACTGGGGCGGAGGCGGAGCTGGTGCAGCCACATGATGGGGTGGAGCTCGGGGGGGGGGGGGGGGGGGGGGGGGGTAGACCGTCGGCAGAGATCCCAAAGGACCTCGCGACCCCCGGCCACTTCGCCATCACCCAGGCGCCCGAGCTCCAGCGGGAGTTCCCGGGCCTGGGACAATTCGGCACACTTGGACACCCCCTAGATGCCCAGACGTCCAAATCCCTTCCCGTTAGTGGTGAGCTGCGAAGAGGTGAACCCATCTACCTGTAGGGATCGCAGGGAGTCCGGCATCCTCAGTTCCGAGAAGCCTAGGAGGTCCTAAGGACCCCCAGATCCATCGAAACAGCCCCCTTCTCCAGGAGGCCCAAAGGATGAGCACTCCGGTCGTCCCAGCTCTTTCCCCACCCCAACGCCGGAGAGAGACACACGAACGCGGGGCCCTGGCTGGAAGATTTTGAGTTTTATAGCAAACCGTATTGTACAGACCTGGGGCCCAGGGGCCCAGCCCGGCTGGGAACCCCCCCACTTGCCCCCGCCGGGCTGCCTCCTCCCCCTCCCCCAAGCGGCCCCATCCTCAGGCCTTTCTCGATACCCAGAACCCCCTCCCCTCCGGCCTTTGGTCCGCCCAGTCCCTCCCCCCACCCTCGCACCTCCCTGTTACCTGAGGTATGTGGATAGATTCCCCCCTCCCCTACATGGTACATCCCGGCTCCCCGGGGAGGCCTGGGCGGAGGGGCGGGACCTGGCCCCAACTCCTCCCCCTGGCTCCCCAAGCCCCGCCCCCACCCCAGGAGGGGTGGGGGCGGGCCAAGAGTCTGTTACTAAGTTCCCATGGCAACTAAGAGGGGCCATTTCCAGCCTTAGCACTGGCTTCGGGAGGTGTCCATTGGCTGCTATTTCCATGGCAACCAGGAGTGGCAGTTCCCTGGGCAAATGGGATACAAGTTTCCATGACGATGAAAGAGTGGGAAGAGCCACGCTGGAGGAGTCCCATCTTCCCCCATCATTGGGCTGGCACCCCACCCCCACCCCCACCTCAGGTCAGGAGGGGTGGAGCTGCTCAATACAGTAAAGCAAGAGAGAGCCTGGGGGGTGGCGCAGTCCAAGCTGGGTGCCCACCAGTCCAGTCTCAGTCCAAGCCGATCAGTCCCCTCACTCCGGCTCCCCCAGGTCCGAGGTTCCCCCGGTTCAAGTAACACTTCAGTACAGATGAATGTTCAAGTATTGTGCGGGGAGGCGGGCAGGGGGCTGGGGTACCCCTCACCACTCCCCTGGGCCACGCTGAACAGCGGGTAGGCCCGCGGCCCCCACTCCTCGCAATAGCTGCCATTGTCAGTGACGTTCAAGGAGTCAGGGTTGGGGGGGGGGGGAGGAGAACTGAAATCTGGGGAGGGAGTAAGGAGAGGGGTGTGACCCCCTGAGGGGGTACTACTGCCCCCACGCCTGCTCTTTGCCCCCACCCCTCACTCAGCCCTGCCTTTCCCCTGGTTCCCCAGTCCCCCCATCTCTGACACGTGGATCCCCAATTGCTCCTCTGGTTTCCCTTTTTGGCCCCACCCCCACCCCCCAACTCCAAGTATCTGGTCTTTGTTCCCTGAACCCTTGGTGATCTGCTTTCTGCCCCCCCTCCCCCAGCCCATCCTCCACCTCCCCCAGCCCCCTGGCTCCCAGTATCCTGTGTGCAGATACCCTTTCCCCATTTCCCTCCCTCAAACTTGCACCTTACCCCCCTCCCACCATCCCTTTGGCTCAGCACCCACCCCCGTACCTCTGACCCACTCCCCCCAGGGGATGGACAATGAAGCAGGTGGAAGGGAGAGGAGATGGGAAGGAGAGACCCCCAGAGATATCAGTGCAGGGGGTAGAAAGGGGGAGGGAGGCTGGCTCGAGTCCCTGGGCAGGAATCCCAAGTCATGAGGTGGGTAACCTGGCCTCCTGGCAGGGATAAAATGAAGGCCCGAGGTCCAGGCTCCTGATGAGTCCTGGGGGAGGGTGGGGGGCACCCAACTAGCTGTCCTTGAGAAGCAGCTTCTCCTCTGGGCAGCGGAAGGGGCCAGGGGGCCCAGCGGCTGCCAGCCGGGCACAAGCTTCAGGGGAGAGCTGGCGGCAGGAGCGCAGGTCTAGGCGGCGTAGGCGCGGGCAGCGGCGGAACAGCGGGAGGCAGTGGTCCGTGAGGCGGTGGCAACCTGGGGAGGGGGGAGGCAGTGGTAGCGGAGACCACAAAGGTTAGTAGGGGGTGGGCACTGGCCACGGGGACCAGCACACTAGCGGGACAGACAGTTTGCTTACCGGCAAGATTGAGGTGCACCAAGGTCTCGCGGAGCGGGGAAGTGGGAGCTGTGAGGAGGTGGACGCTGGGGTCCCCCACGTGGGCGCAATGGCTCAGGTCCAGGGCACTCAGCTGGGGCGCATGGCGCAGCAGGAGCCGCAGGGAGGCATCTGTCAGCTCCAGGCCTGCCAGGCGCAGCTCTGCTACCCCCTGCAGCCGCCCACGGCTCTCTGTTTGCCCTGGGCAGGCAGTGAAGAGGTCAGCACCCCTGGCTACTCCTGTGCCCACCCCAGGCATCCAGACCAGCTGTGTCCACACTCCTATGCCTCACCACCCCCTAAACCTGCTTCCACAACAGCAGAGCCTCCACCTGTGTTCTCTACGTGGCTTACTCTTCTCCCAAACACCTGCACAACCTGACCTCATCTCATCTGTCCACTGCTCACATCACCTCCTCTATGAGGCCCTCCATGATTACTCCATTTGATATGGTAACATTCCACATGCTCCTACCCCTTCACTGCCATTATTGTTTCCCCTTTTCTTACCATGGGACCTATTTTTTTTTTCTCTCTCCTCCCACTAGAATAAGCTCCACAAAGGCAAGAATTTTTGTCTTGTTTTTGCTCTACCCCTAGCAACTGGGACATTGGTGCTCAGCATTATTCACTCATCTGACAAATGCCATCTCTAATAGAACCCCAGGGTCCCCTGCTACTTCCCTCTCCTTCCACTGGTAACATCACCAACTGGATCCCTTTCTCTCCATTCCCCAGACACCCCTCTGGGACAACACCACTCTTGCCTGGACTCCTGCCCCAGCCTCCCCACCCAGTCAAGTCTCTCCTCTCCTTCCTGGCATTCAAAGAGAGCTGTGCTCAAAAACAAATGGGACATGGGCCATCTGGGTAGCTCAGTCGGTTAAGCATCTGCCTTTGGCTCTGGTCATGATCCCAGGGTCCTAGGATCAAGTCCTGTGTCCAGCTCCCGGCTCATCAGGGAGCCTGCTTCTCCCTCTCCTCCCCACTGTGCTCTCTCTCTTCTCTCTCAAATAAATAAATAAAATCTAAAAAAAAAAAAAAAAAAAAAAAGTGGGGCACCATCCCTCCTCTACTAGAAACTCTTGGGAGCCCCTCTTTGGTTAGAACATTCCAGTTCCTATAAGGGCTCATCCCTGTCTCTGTTCCTAATTCCCCTCCCACACTCCCAAACACCTGGGCCAAATTCCACAGGTGACCCTGCTCTGAGACTCTGCCCACAGACACCTATGTTCAATCCTATGCGGGGCTGGTGTCCTTGGCTTTTAGCTGAGGTTAGAGACCGCTTCTTCCCACATCTCCGGGGAAGAAGAACTCACGTCCCTCATTTCTACACCCAAAGCATGTGGCATGTAGCCTGCTTTTCTGTTAGTGTATCTACACATTCCGCATTTGGGGTTTTGGGAAGAGCGGGGAGGGGCAGAGGGAGAGACAGAATCTTAAGCAGGATCCACTAAGCAGGGAGCCCAAATGGGCTCTTGACCCTGAGATCATGACCTGAGCGGAAATCAGGAGTCAGACGCTTAACCAACTGAGCCACACAGGTGCCCCTACTTTTTTTGTTTGTTTGTTTTTTAAACTAAGTGCCTAAGGTACACCAGCCACCATGAATTAAGCACTCAGTGTGGGCTGGGCACCAGCCAAGGGGGCCAAGTGGCAGCCTGTTCCTAAGCCAGGGGCTCTTCTGTGCCCCCTTGGAGGACTGCCTAAAATGGTTGCTGGACCTACCCAGAGGTTGTCTGGACCATGCTCTAAGAACCACAGCTGCGTGATTATCACTCCTGCTTACAGATGAGAACTTTGAGGCTCAAATCATTAAAACAATCTGTCCGAGGTCGCATGACTGAACAGAGGACGCCAGACCAAACACACCACGGCACTATCTGCCCCTCAGGCACCAGCCCAGCCCATAGATAAACCGGATCAGATATCACCAACTCATGAAACTAGTCTACACAAATGTGTTACGGAATCTGCAAAGCACTGACATTTTTCTTATATTAATACCTAATGCCACAAAAAGGATACTTCCATAAAGGAATTTGGCTAGACCTTTTCTTTGAAAAATCGTAAGATCTGGCACCACTGGGCTAGCTGGGCACCTGGAAAGGGCTAGCTGGGCACCTGGAAAGGGCTAGCTGGATACTGGGTTGCAAGATGTTACTCCCTCCAGTCATTCACCGAGCCCGTCCCTTCTGTCACCTGCCAGGCCACCTGACTTGGCAAACTGAATTCCACCTCGTTTTTTCCTTTGAGGAGCTGAGAGCCCAGGAAGGATATATCTACAGATGCCCTTAATCTTGGGGCACAGTTAAAAGCCATTAGAGGGAAGCAGAGGACAGACAGGTCACTTCTGGCTTCTGCATCTGCAAGGATTTCACTGAGATGGCAGGATTTAAGCCGGGCTTTCAAGGATCTGAACGTGAGAAGTGGGACGAGAGCAGGCCAGGCAGAGAACAGCCGGGACAAAAACGAGGAAACAGCAGAACTTTAAGTTTTGCTGAAGGGATGCTGCACAGAGCCAGGGAGCCAAGATAAGAAAGATGGGTGTAGAGTCCCAACACTAGAGGAGGTCCTAAGGGCCTGGGAGGCTCATCTCTGCAAGCTCCTGAGGTAGTTCAGGCAGGAAGAACTGGTGTCAGTGTGCCTGCCAACCGGCACTTTCTCACCTCAGGGAATCCACGGTTCCCAGTGCTCACCCTCATCCCCACCCGAATCTTCCTGGCTCAGGCCAATTCCGGTAAGAGCGGCAACGGGGGAGTTCTCTGGTCTAGCTCTGCCTGTGTGACTCGCAGCGGTCAGTCAACCCCTCTGAGCCTCTAGTGCCTTGTCCAGAAGAATCCTAGATGCTTCCCTACCTCCTTCCAAGGCTGCTGTGAAGGGGGGATGGGGTGGGAAGAAGGGAACGGAAAAGTAAGCTATGAAAGCAAGGCTCTAGGGTGAGTACAGCCCTTGCCCTCCCAGAGCTTAGAACTCGGGGAGAAGAAATGGGTTTTCATCAAATCACTTCACCACCACATAGTCCTAGCTGGGGGGGGACTACTCCCAAAGCTCTAAAGGAACCCTGATCTCAGGGAGCGGGGGAGGGATCATGGAGGGCTTCTAGGAAGAAGTGGCATTTATGCTGAGGCCTGAAGAATGATTAAGTGTTAATAAGACAAAGGGGGATACAGCATTCTGGACAAAGAGGACTAAGCAAAGGCCTGAGGGCTGGAGAGAATCTTGGCAAGGAGGCTGAAGTGGCTGAAATGTGGGGATGGCATAGATCGGTGGAAGCCAGACCGTGCCAGGCCTCGGTGACAATGTAGTAATGTTTATCCAAAGAGCACTGGGGGATTATGAGGAAGAATTTAGAACACAGAGGTGACATGGACAGGTTTGCCCTTCTGTACGGTTCCCCTGACATCAGTGTGGAGACCAGACTAGCGGGGGCCAGAGAAGCTGTTGTGAGCATCCCATCTCCTGGCTAGACAAGGAAGCCCCAGACCTCAGTGCTCCTAACCCACACCTCCGTTGGGACCTGCCTCTGCTCCCAGCATTTCCCCTCTCCCAGTACAGGCCTCCTATCCTACCGAAGTGCTTACTTCTGCCTCGCTCCCTGGGACAACCCTGTCCCTTTCAGGATCAGTTCAAACAGCCCAGCCTCAAGGAGGGATTCTCTCACTGCTCCCCACACCCAACCACAGCCTCAATCGTATCACCCTGTAACCTTCTATTTCTGATTCTCTCTCTCCTGCATCACCCTTTCCTCTCAGGGTAGGGACTGGGGCTGTTTGAGGTCTCCAAGGCCTGACACGGGGCCAAGGCCGGAGTGTGTTCAATAGTAAAAGCCATCTTTACCTGACAGGGCACTTGGGCTGGACCCGGGGGTGGAGAGGTAGCTAGCCTGACTTGGGAGATGATACCACCAGCCCCATGCAACCTTCCAAGTCAGCCGTCTCCCTGTTTCTGCTCCACTCCCTCAGGAAAACCCTTGTCCTTTTACTGTAGGGCAAGAGGGCACAGAGGCCAAGTCTATGGCTCACTTCTATGTGTACTGATCCATGCATGAATTTTAAAAGAATGTTATATTAACTGCCATCATTTAAAACCAAGGATATTTCACAGGAAAATCCAGTGTCTGGCTCCTCCTGATGAATGGAAGGGACTGGCCACCCTGGGCCTGCATTCTTTCATGGCCATTGCCGCTGCTCCCTTTGGAGGAGGCTCTCCAGTAGAGCCCACCACACCCAGTGACCTCACTCCTATCTGCCATCGGCCATGCCCCTGGCTTCTTCCAGAATTCTTGTCATCCTCCTGTCCTATACTATGTTGCAGTACATACTTATCTCCCCTCTGGAGGGCAGGGCCTACCTCCCCTTCATCTCTGTTCCCTCACAGTTCCTATCACAGGGCCCAATGCACAGCAGGTAAGTAAAGGAATGAACAGTAGCCAAGCAAGGCCTCCTCACCAAACTCATGTGTTCTGCCCTTTCTTCAACTCTCTTAACATCCAGCATGAGTCAGAAGAGACCCTGGAGGCCTCATACCTCCCCCCTTCCCCCCTTGGCCAACCCATTCTACAAATGAGCCAAAAGACGCCACACCTGGTTTGGTGTCTGGTGGAGGCAAGAGCAGCTCGCGGAGCTGGGAGTCTTTAACATCCTCAATCCAGCGAAGATCCAGGAGCCGCAGGGCCGGCAGTGGGGCTGAGCCCAGGGCAGAGACAGAGAGCCAGGAGCAGCCGGAGAGCACCAGCTCCTGCAGGCCTGGACAGGGGAGGTTGGGAAGTCGGCACTCCATCCCAGAACCGTCTCCCTCTTCACCCTGTCCTACCTTGCCATCCCGCCCTACCTTGCAGACGATTCAGAAGCCACATGAGCTGCTTCTTGGAGACACCTGTCCAGCTGAGGTCCAGGGCTCGGGGCTGGCGACGAACCACACCACTGAGCATGGGTGGGGTCAGTGACTTTCGCCGGCTCAGATCCATTCGAGGCCACAGACGCTTGTCATAGCACCTATCAGCCACAAGAGGGAGACAGAGCCCTCAGCTCTTAGGGAGCCTGTGAAACTCCCTCCTTCAGGACTTCCTTCTCCACAGCTCTGTCCTGGCCCACAATGACAGCAGGGGTGGCAGGAAGTACCCAGCCTCAGACCAAGAGCACCAGGTCTGGGGCTCAGTTTCATCAATAAGCGAATGCGAGACCCCAGGCAGGTCCATTCCTTTCCCTGAGCCTCTGATGCTCCACTTGTAAAATGAAGGTAAGGATCCAGACTCAGCCTGCCCCACAGGGCTACCATGAGAGCAAATGAGGTCACGGCAGTTTATAGCCCTTACAGCTTATAAAGCAGCCTGCCAAAAACACAAACACCCTACACACTGTATCTGATGTAACACCAAAGGGATCCCTCAGCAGCCTCCACCACCCCCACCTTGGGCTTCTGGAGTTCTCCCTAAGTTATGGTGACTCGTGGGAACTTCTCATCTCCTCTATTCATCTCTGCCTTTGAGCCACATCTGCCCCATCCTGATGGCCAGCTGCCCAAGGCTCAACTTACAGCCCCCTTACCTCCTGTCTCGGGTTACTGTATCCCTCCAACTAGAATGTAGGCCCTCCAGGGCTGGACGGCTTTTCCCCTTTGGTAGCGCCAGGACCTAGCCCCGTGCCAGGGTCATCTGTTGCACCAATGAATGGTGCGAAGCTGGTGTGAAGTCCCTGAAGCTTCCACTGAGCGCTCCCCCACAACCCACGACACCTACAGCTTCTCATTTATCCACTCAGTGTTTACGGAAGGCATGGTAGCGCCCAGGAATCAAAGTTCCAAAGACGACTGAGGCCTACACAAAGTGAAATAGCTTTCCTGATCCCTCACAGCCCTGAGGGGTCCAACATTCAGTGAACCAGAGCAGGTTTTCCCAAACTTATTTTTACCAAGGAACCCTTCCCCACCTCTCCCAAGGTCATCTGCGAACACTCTGTGGCACACTAAGGTTCCTTGAGACTTGGGTCTGAAAACTCTCCTTCTAGTTCTCAAAAGCATGTCAGGAAATTCCCACTGGGCTAGACAGACTGTGTCAGAAGCAGCAGGGGTGAAAAAGGCCCAGGAAGCTGTGTCTTACTGCCCTTCACCCCCACCCCCATTCTGAGGGCCTTCCCTTCGAGAAGCCCTGGGCTGCCGCAGTGGTTACCAACTCCTGGCCCGTAGTCAGTTGCTCTCCCCTTCTCTCAGAACATGAATTTATCTTTCAGTCGATCCCCTCCTTGCACTTAAAACCAGTATTTCTTCACATAAAAATGTTAACCTTAGAAATCTATACAATAAAAACTAACCAGGTCTATTAAATCCTGGGCAAGTGCTGCTGTGGCTTTAGGCTACCATCTGAAGACTATTTTTGTTAAACAGGGAGGTAAGTATTAGAGAGGTGTTAAAGATACAATAGCACCCAATGGAGAGACTTCCTTTTCAAAACTAACAGATTCAGCCATGGTTTTGTGCCACTTGAGACTGCCAGGCATTCTCCCGTCTGACATTTTAGGGAATTACTGGGGGGCACAGACACTAAGGCTTCAATCCCAGCGACTCCACTTCTCCACTTGCAAAGCTCTCGGACTATAAAACAGAAAAGGAAAACACCCTGCCTACCCGCAACCCAGCTTCTGCCCCTTGTCTCTAGCCACTTGGTGAAATCCTGCCCCCTCCAACCCAGTCTGGAGTCTCAGCTCCACTGCCACGATCACCCCGAAGCCCTTCTGGATCTTCTATGGCTAGAGAGGGAACCCTCCCCACCCTGGGGGCACACACAGCCCCCCCAGCTGTTCCTATAACATACTCTACAACAGCCACACGGAACCACCTGCCAGCCGACAGCCACACAACACTGCCTGGTGCCAACATATATGGGCCCCTGTCGTGCTTCTGCCCAAAATGCCAACCAACCCAGAGCTTTCAACACCCAGTCCCAGCGTCTCCTCTCCCAGGAAGTCTCCCATGACTTTTCTTAGCTTGAACTAATTGGTCCCTTTGCCCCTGAATGACCAGGGGGGGGCAGCCCATGATCACTCAGTGCCCTACGGATCCTAAGTGACCGCCTCCACTGGGCTGTCAGGAAACGGGGGAAACACAGCCCGTCCACAGTAACTGAAGCAGCAAGGGATGTAGTGAAGAGTCAACGAGAGGGCTGGACAGGGAGCCTCCCAGGGAGACAGTGAGGGGAGGGAAGAGAGTGTATGCTCCAGATGGGGAAGAGCCAGCAGCCAGGCCTAGGGCACCGAGAGAACACGGAGCACTCTGAGAAACTCAAGCAGCAGGAACAAAGGGCAAGGAACCTTTGGAGGAAGGTGGGGATGACCATGGGATTAAGATCTAGGGTTGGGGCGCCTGGGTGGCTCAGTGGATTAGGCCTCTGCCTTCGGCTCAGGTCATGATCTCAGGGTCCTGGGATTGAGCCCCGCATCGGGCTCTCTGCTTGGCAGGGAGCCTGCTTCCCCCTCTCTCTCTCTCTCTGTCTGCCTCTCTGCCTACTTGTGATCTCTCTCTGTCAAATAAATAAATGAAATCTTTGGAAAAAAAAAAAAAAGATCTAGTGTTTATCAAGGGTTTTCTATGGGCCAGGAACTAGTCTGTGCCTCAAGCAGTTAACCTCACAACAGCCCTAGGAGGTAAATACTGTTACTACAACCTCCTTTTTAAAGTTACGGAAAAGGAGGCCCAGAGAGGCTGAGAAACTTGTTCGAGGTCCCACAGCTACTAAGTGGTGGCAGAGCCAGGCTTTAACCCAAGCTGCTCTGGACTGAGCCTGAGCCGGGTCTGAGGGAAGAGGCGGGAGGTGGGGGCCGGGGGGAAGACTGCAGAAGGGCCCCAGGGTGGGCACGGTGTAGCAAGGCAGGCCGCAATGCCAGGTGGGACTGTCATTTAGTGCAGTCGCTGAGGTACTATATGTGTTTAAATGTCCAGCAGGGCTGTGGGAATTCAGTGTGAGGGCAGCATGGATGGGTCCTTTCTAAGCTGCAGAATGACACAAAGGTGAGGGGCAGAAAGAACTGTCAGGAGGCGCCGCCTGCCCTCACTCAGGGGCCTTAGGGCATGATGTCCAAGTTCCCTAACCCAGTTCACTTTTCCCTGGACTCCAGCCACACCGACTGAGTCAGCCCCCTATTAAGCCCACCTCCCGAACCTGAAGTTCTGATCCTAAACCTCTGTCTTGTAGGGGCGCCTTGGGGATGCAGACGCACCCGCCCAGCTGATGTCTGCCAGAAGCTCACAGCCTTCTGGACTCCAGCCCAAGCTGGTTCTTTACTCTCAGCTCTCTGTCCTCCCTGATGCCACCGCTGTCCTCATACCCGCCCTTCTCCAGGCCTTCCAAGCCCCAACTGGCCTTGACTTTGGGGTACAGTCCCTTCCTTGCCACCTTCTCTCCCCGTCTTCCAAACTTCCAACCCTCTTTTCTGTGCCTCAACAACTCCGCCATGCTTCCTCTGCCTACCCCCTCTCCTCGCTCTTGGTACATTCACTTTGCCTCCCTGTTCCAAGAGGAGATAAAAGCCACCAGACAGGAAAGCCTGCAACTTCCTGCTCTCCCACCTACAAATTTCTCTCTGCCTCCACCCTCACTAGCTCTTTCCACACACCATCCTGATTTCCTCACTTCCGTCCATCCATCCATCCATCCATCCATCCAACCAGTATTGTCTTAGAACTTCCTGTATGTCAGGCACTATCTTAGAAACTAGGGACATAGCAAAGAACAGATCAAGTCCCTGCCTTGGAGCTGATGTCCTCAACCCCATGTGACATGGCTTTGGTCCCCTACTCCCACGCAGCCCAGCCAAGGACACCAGGGCCTCGTGTAGCAAATCCAACTGCCACCTCTGGTCCTTGGTCTCCCACGACCTCTCGCCAACATCCCACACTTTATCATTCACTCTTTCCTCAATCTCTCTCCTGCGGGACACTTCCGCCATCTCCTTCATGTCTCTGGCTGCTCTTTCTCTAACTCACAGACACTGACATTCTGTCTTCTGTCCTCTTTCTGGAAGCTGCTACCTAGGGGGGAACTTCCAAACTTGGATCTTTCCAGCACCAGATCTGTACATCCACCTGCTGTCCTGCTAGCTACTGACTAGCCCCCAAGCCTTTTGGACAAAACGTGTCCAATCTGAGCGCTTCCCTTTCCCAGAACCTGCTCGTCCTCTGGTACTCCCAAGCTTGGGGAACGGCACTGCTGCCCACCCAGGCTCGTAGGCCAGACACTCAGCCGAAGAGTCATCACCCTGGTGCTCTCTCTAACAGCCATTTAGTTACTGAACACAAGCTGCTCTGCTTTTAAAAAATTCTCAGCCCAAGTCCCTCCTCTCTACCCCTCCTGTCCCTACTTCTGTGCCTACACCGGACAGAGCCTCCTGATGGGTCCCACTGTACCTGCTCTATCCTACACTCATCCTTATCAAAACCCACCATTTTACTGAGTGTTTAGCACTTTCCAAGTACTGTGCTAAGTGCTTTGTAAGACCCACTTTATTTACTCCCCATAGGGTATGAGTATGAAGCCTAGACTCCAGGTGAGAAAACAGGCCTTGAAAGGTAAAGCTATCCCCCCACCGCTAGACACTCAGGCAGGACAGGAGGCACAGAAGATGACACCCATGGGTGCCAGACTCCAGGACCCAAGCTGGAAATCTCTGTGCCGTCTCAGGTCCACTGCTTCATCCACTTCCAGTCACAAGTCTCTGCCTGAGGGAGAAACTAAGTCCTCTTCAGTCCTGGATCCCACCTGCCAAGCACAGAGCAGGCCTTGGAGAGGCCTCGGCAAACGTATCGCCAGTCACTACACGTGCAGGGTGGCTGTCCCCAGCAGTTGTTCTCTTAGCTTCTATGCTGCAGGCGGACTGGCAGCTGGTCCAGGCCAAAAGTCTGAGGACGTAAAGTCTGTGCTTTCAGTCAATATTGGCAACTGAGGGAATGACACTGGGTACAGATAGGGCACTGGGTAGTTTCTACTTTCTGGGTACTGTCCTCGGTTCTCTGTGTACATTAGCTCACAAAGATGCTATGAAGTGAACACAGCTTCTCCGGGCTTAACAGGTGAAGAAGAAACTGAGGCACAGAGAAGTTAAGACACTAGCCCAGCGGCCGTCAGCTTCTCAGGGGAAGAGTAAGAGTCAACCACAGGCAGTCTGCCTCCAGAGCCGCTGGCACCGTGACTTCAGGTGTCCCTCTTTCTCCCCCAGGGCTGCGATTACAAGGAACACGTTAGCCCCCAATTTGCAAAGTGCCCGCCAGGATGCCTCCTCCACAGTAAGGGTCTGGGAAACAGCCTGAATGTACTCATTTAATGAAATACTTCTTGGGCGCCTCCACTGCCCTTGTCCCGTGCTGGGAACACGCAGATAAAACAGACACAGTATCCACCCCGCTCTAACAAGCGCTGTGAACACGAGTATGGAGAAATGAGTGAGGGCTCGCCGGTGTGTGGAGGGCCTCCGTGTGCTCTGGTGAGGGGAAGAGCACGCTGCGGTAGTCTCATGGGACTGGCCGAGGATTTGGTTGGGGGCAAGATCGAAGAGGAAGACCAGGGGCTTGGGAGGATGACTGACATTTCTGAACAAACAAGGTTCAGGAAGCAGTGTGGGAGATGGGGGGACGACAGGCAGAGGGAGCAGGGAGCGGCTCTGGGGCACAAAGAAGGAATGAGGGGAGTCAGGAGCCTGAAATGCGGCTGCCCCTGAGAGGGCAGGGCCACCTCAGTTACATGTAAATGGAACCTCCAGTGAGACTGTCCTCAGCAAAAGGGCTGTGCAAAGCAAATCGGGTGATGTACGACAGCACTGAGCACTACACTTGCCCCAGGAACACACATAAATGACGGTTCTAAGGAGGAAATATCCTGAAGTCGTGGGGTGTGGGTTCAAATTCCTGGTTCCACTACCTCCTCTCCACAACCTTGACCTCAGCTTCTATAAAATGGAATAATAGTACCTGCCCTCACAAAGTTGTTCTGAGAGTTAAATGAGCTCGAGCAATGCAAGGGAGCTTGCACGCAGCAGTTGGGGAAGCATCAGACTAGAATGCATACACGACACAGGAGTAGTAGCGAAGTAAGAACAGGACCCAGAGAGGTCATGACCTGCTGCTGCAGGTCCTACGGCAAGTGAGAACCCAGGCCCGTCCAGGCCACTCACCAGCGGCTCCAAGTCCGGCAGACTCGCATGCAAACGCACAGCTCTCGGGGCCCGAGGTGCTGGAAGACACGAAGCCAGGCGGCGCGGGGCAGGGGGTGGTCGGATCCAGCGGCCAAAGGCAGCGTGTCGGGCTCAGGGCTTCGAGGTGGGGGCCGTACCACGTGCCTCTCCAGCTGTGGGGGCCGGGGCGGCGGGGCGGGGCCCAGGGGCCAGCTGAGGAGGGGCCCCCCACTGCCCGGGCGCACAGCCCGCCGCCCCCCGCGGTTCTCCTTCTCGCCCGAGCTGCCCCGGGCTGGCCGTCGCCCATTCCGGGCCTCGCCAGGGGCCTCATCCTCACTCAGCGATGTGCCTGAAGAGTCCGAGTCGGAATCCGAGTCCGAGGAGGACGAGGAGGTGTCAGGCACCCGCTCCAGCAGCTGGCACATACGCTTGAAACGCTCGAGCTTCTCCCTCTGTGGCGACGGGGACGGCACGGCCGGGCCCTCGGCAGAGGCCAAAGGCGGCTTTGGTTTCTGCAAGGAGATGAGGGGAGGCTGTTCTAGGGTCTGACACGCACTGTTCCACCCGCCTGCCCGGAGGAGTGAGCAGGGGAGAAGCACCCCAAGAGGCAGTCCTGAGTTCCAGCCCTGACTCTGCCCCTGAACGGTGTGAGGCCTCAGCCACATCACATCCCTTTTATCTGTCACGGGAAGGTACTGATTCAAAGAATTAGAAGCCTTATGGGTTTCGATGGCTTAAGAGTTTTCAAAGGCTGTGAAATATGGAGAACGGTTAGAGATGTCATTTTGAGCTTCGGCTGTGCTATCAACTCTCTGTGTGACCTTGGGAAGCCCCGGCCTCGTCATCCATAACACGGAACGCTGGCCTAGATGATTCCGAGTGTCTGACAGTCAGCGATATGAGTGACAGAGCACCTCATGCTCAGGGACTCACATCCTCACAGCGCTCCAATGGATTAGCAACCTGGGCCACTTTTCTTACACTCGAGGAAACAGAGGCTCAGAGAGACGAAGTGACTTGCCCAAGGTTACAAACTGACAAATGGCAGAAGCAGGATTTGAACACAATCAGGCAGACCCTTGCATTCATGTGTCAGTGCAAAGGGCCATCTGATTTCTAGCTTTGCTGTGTGATCTTGCCCAAGTCTTTTAACCTCTCTGGGCCTCATCTTCCTCACATCTAAGTACATTTCACAGTTCACAATCTCATTTACTTTCATTAGATGTAAACAGTTCTGTGGGATGGATGGATAAGGTAGGTAGTATCCTCTCCTCCACAGATGAGGAACCGAGGCTCAGAGCAGCTGACAAATTGCCAAGACCACACAGGGAATCAGTGGGCAAGGATTTGAACTCAGTTCTTTTCCCTTTAAGGTTTGGAAAGATGACGCAGATGGGTCAGATGACACCCCAAGGGTTCCTGGAAAGTCCTGTGGCCTGGCCCCAACCCACCTCTTCCCCCTCCACTCTTCCCAGGGGTCCAGATGCCCACTGTGGCCAAACGGGGCAGGGGCAGGACAAGGTGAGCAGGAAGGGACAGATCTCTGTCTCTAGGGTGGAGGGTGGGGCAAGGAAAGGTGGGAGGGGGAGGGAGGAGGTCCCCGGCACACCTCCCAGTTCTCGGGAGGGAGCCCAGGGTGGCAGGACGAGAAAGCCTGGCTTGGATTCAGAACCCTGGGGGGCAGAAGGCCAGGGCCGCCTGGGTCCGATCCTCGGAGGAGGCAGGCGTCTCCACCCACCTTCTTCAGGTGCCTCTCTCGGCCTCCTTTCACCTACCAGAGCAAGAAGGAAATATAGGGAAAGGGCGAGACCCCATTAGCCCCTCACAGTCCACAAAACTAAGATTCATGTTCATTTCTTAGACTACAAATCCCAGAAGCCCCCATCTCAGGAAGAACTCTGAGCATGCTCACCTTCCCAACCAGTGTCTTGGCTCACTGAGCATGCTCTCCTCTTCTCTTTCTTCCCCCTCAGGCCCTTCCCAGCCCCTCCTTCCTCCTCTGTAGCAGCTAATTTGAGCATGCTCTCTCCCTGCTACTTGAAGCACCCAGGGCTCCCAAAGCTTCCCTGCCCAATGCAAGTTGCCCCTCACCTGCACCTCTCCTCCCCACCGAGCATGCTCCACCCTCCCCAAATTTCCTGAACTAAATCTCCCAACAACCCCGTAGGGAACCCAGCGAGCAGTCTCCCAGGCCTACCCTCCCAAAAAAGGAACTAGACTACCAATCCCAGAATCCCTTGGGCTGGACCTAATGAGCATGCTCCCTGGCTCACCTTTTTCCTTGGGGTGGGGGGCTCATTCCCTGCCTCCCTCTCCTTTCTTTTGGGGGGCCCAGGCACGTCCTCTGGGGGGGGGCCCAGCAGGTAAGGGGCCCTTGCGCCTGGGTGGGGGTGGTGGAAGCGGAGGCTCCTCCGTCAGCTTCCATCCACTCCCCAGGCTGGCGCCCTCCTCGCCGTTGTCAGCCCTGCGGCGGCCTGGTCCCTCACCTGAATCCTGGGGAGATGGAAGCCAGGGTTGAGGTTCTCTCCAGCTCCCCAACCCACTGTCTGTGCAGAACCCAGCGCCCAGCCCAGCCCCTACCCCTACCTTGCTGGTCCGGCCTTCCTGGGTGCATCGAGGGCACTCCCAGCAGTTAGGGATCTCCGCATTGATGACACCCTCAGCCTTCCCCATCTGTAGGCAGAGGGTAGGGAGTGGATGTAGCGTGCAGGAAACCCAGAGGCAGCGCTCCCCAGGGCCATCACCTTCAGACTCCAGGGCCCCCAGGGCCATCACCTTCAGGCAGCCAGGGTGGACGATCTCATTGCAGATTGTACACTCCATGAGGCTCAAACCAAATTTTTCTTCCTCTCCCTCTACTGTGTCCTCCTTCCCAGCCTCCCCACACAAGAGGCATACAGCTGTGTGTGGGAGCACGGGCTGTTGGGGAAGAGGGAGTATTAGGGATCCAGAAAGCAAGTGACAGGGGGAAGACCCTTCCTTCTGGGGAGCCTGGCCAGCTACTGGATGAAGTTCAAAACCCATGGGCCAATCTGGGTCAAATCTTGAATTTGTTCCCTTTTGACAGTATGACCTTGAGCAAGTGATTTAACCTCCTTACGTCTCATGTCTCCATCCATAAAATGGGGCTAGGCATTCTTCCTTTGCAGGACCTTTGGAAGAATGAGATCACCCGTGGAAGCACTGGATACATAGTTGTTATCACGGTTGCAAATGTTGCAGCTGGAATCAGGGTCTGTGTGTGTGACCCTGAAACTCTTGCTGGCTTTGGGGAAAGGATAGAAACCATACCAAATAGGACCATACTGTTGAAAGAGAAAGCAGCAGGGGACTGTGGCTGCAGCTTGGGATGATTCGGAGTTTGCACAATGGGCAGCCCAAGTGTTGCTCTGGACCCTACAATGAATCAGGTTTTGGCAAGACTCCTGGGAACGCGAAAGGCAGCTGGCTGGTCCTGAGAGAGAGCAGCCCTCAGACAACTTGACTTTGGGTGGGGGGCAGGGTAATATGGAGTCATCTGAGGGATGCTGAAGGTCGGGAGACAGGCCCAAGGAAAAAGGAGTAGGGAAAGGAGGAACAGGAAGAAAGAGAAGAGGGGGGCTCTAGGGCAAAGAGGTAGCAGAAGGGTTGGAGGGAAAAGGAGGTGGTGATCCTCTAGGAGGAGGTGGATGGAAAAGGCTGACTGAGAAGGGCCATGTCCTGGAGCTCTGGGGAGCTCAATGGAAGAAACTCATGTTCTTGGATACCTACTGTGTGCTGGGCACACTCACATCTCTGCTACTGCTTCATCTTTACAACTCAGCAAAGGAAATGTTTCACTGAAAAGGTACTTCGAGGTTCAAAGTGTTTGTTCAAGGTCACACAAAGGGTAAGCCTGGCCTCAAATCCGAGACCACTCTGGCAGGTGAGGAAAAAGCCAGAAAAAGCTAAGACCTATTCAGTTGGGCCAGCTCTGGAAGTGGGCCCCTGGGCACACATTCCTCTAGGGAGGGGTACAAGAGGGGCTGAGGTCTCTCTGGGTCTGTGCCTCTGAAGCCGGGAAAAACATGAAGGTAAGCAGAACATTAGATTCTTCTGGGCGCTAACATTGCCCCCTGCTTGGAACTGGAGACAAAAACGGGCCTGCTGGACATCCAAACAAAACAGCGTATGACTGTGTGAACGAACAGGAACTCTATAGTGAGTGCGAGGAAGCAGCCAACCCAGGAAGGCACCTGGGCCAGCTGGGGAAGGGCACCCATGGCCCCCAGGGGTGTCGGGCGCGCCGGGGGCAGAACTCACGGCAGTGCACTGCCGGAGCAGGCACGACTGCTTCATGCGCCCGGGCCCCCCGAACTTCTTCATGTCTCGGCAGAAGTGGCAGTCCCCGCACTCAGTTCGCACACAGGCCCGGCAGCGGCGGCAGCGGGTTCGGCGTCGGCGCGCTCCGGCCCCCGGCCCCCGGCTGCTCGACGACATTGGGGGCGTCAGCAACGCCGAGGGCTGTGGGTGAATGGGACACAGGGTCAGGTGGGCCCACAGAGGCCCTGGCCTAGGACACTCGCAGCAGCTCCCCCCATTCCTAGGCAGCCGGAGCTTGCTCTCCTACCCCTATCCCGGGGTGTGGGAGACAAGGAACAAGGAGATTGTCCCTCCTGGGGTGGGGGTCGGGGGGGGGGCACCACTCCCTGTACTCAAGGCCTCTCTCCAAAGAGCTCACCTGGCTCCTTTGGGAGCCTGAGAACTGTTTTCCTGACCTCACTCCTCTTTCCTCTAACACTTCCTCAGCACCTCCTTGGCTACCCAGGGGAGGAGAAAGGGACTTCGGCCTCGGCTCTGACACCTCCACACCAAAGCTCCTTGGAAAGCCAGGGTTCCTTGTTTGTGGAGTTACTCAGAGAGACCCCAACTCTTCCCCCGGTATCCAAATGTACTACACCCCAAGCATTCCCCAACCTAAACTCCCCCACACTTACCTCCAAGATACCCACAAATTCCTAGGTAGAAGCTCTAGACCTTTCTTCCTCCCTCCTTTCTCTCTCACACACAGCTGCCACCCAATCTCTCTTCCCCCAAAACCTATACATTGTCAACAGATCCAATAGGATGCTTGCCCTCCCCCATCCTCAAGGCTCTGAGACACCCTTCTCCCCATGCTGCTTCAGAGGCCCTCCTCAGCCCATCTCAACTGCTCTGCTCCCCCAACAAAGCTCCCTCTACCCCAAGACACCCTCCTCTTGGATCTCTCAGGTCAGTCTGGGCAATCTCCCAGATTCCCTGGGATTCTAGAATCCACCCTGACATCTCCACAGAACTCAGGATGGGCTCAGTGCTACATGTCTTCTCCCCCACCCCCAAGCTTCCCAGGCTACTTTCCATCCCTAATTGTCTAGAATCCCTTGGGTTCCCCTTCCCATGGAAACCAGATCCTCCAAGACCCCATACAGACTCAGCAGGCCTGGAGGGGTCTCTTCGTGGACAGAGTCTTACCCTAGCTTCCCCCTTTCCAGGGACTTCCAGACCCATCCATGGGGGGAAGGGGCCCTCCAGCGCTCCAGGGGAGGGGCCTGGAGGGCGGCGACTGCAGGCGGGGATGGGGGTCTGCAAGGGGAAGCAGGGTCTAGGAAGGAAGGCCAGTTCCCCAGGGTTGAGAGGTAACAGGAAGGAGAGCTGGGCATGAGGAGTTTGGAGCAAAGAGAGGGCGAGGCTGGGGGCGGGGAAGGTAGAGAGAGGCCGGGCTGAGGATGAATGGGAGTGGGAGCTGCCCAGGTCTGGGGGTGAGGAGGAGCCGCATGAACCCACCTCACACGTGTCCCGGGAGCCATCTCTCCCTTCTCGGCAGCTCCCGGCGGGTCGGCGGCCATCGGCGGCGGGGGGGCCGGGCGGCGCGGGGTGCGGAACGCTCAGAACGCCGGGGTCCACGGCCCCCCGAGGGCGCTCGGCCCCTCCCTCCGGCGGAGGCCGGGACGGCGGCGAGTGGAGATGGGGGGCGCCGGGGGCGAGGCCCTCCCACGGGCTGCGGCGCGGCCCTTCCAGGGGGAGGTCCTGCTCTGGGGGGCTCAGTCCCTCAGCCCCCCCAGGCCAACGGGGGCTCCTCGGGCGCAGGGTGCTCAGCTTCTGCCCGGGCCCCACTCAGTCCGGGGTCCGAGTCACAGCTCCCCTCCCCCCACCCCGCCTCTCCCCAGCGCCCCCGGCCCTTTAACTGGCCCCTTCCCGGCCCCCACTGCCCAGGGGTCCAGGGCCAGGCCTGGGCCCCCCACCGTTTCCGGGGTTCAAGCCCCGCCCACCGCCGGTTCCCGGGGAGGGGGGGGTCCCTGTAACCTGCCCCCCTCCCCTGGGCCCGCCCCTAGACTGCGGCCCCCTGCCCTAGGGATACCGGGCGAGTGGAGGGGGGGTGAAGGAAGCTGCTCCGGCCCCGCCCCCCCAGCCTGCGCGCGCCCCCGCCCTCTCCCCCCTCCCCCAGCGCGCGACCCTCCAGAGATAGGGATTTAAATAAAATTTGAATAAATCCCCTTCCTCAAGGCGGAGGATGGAAGGATGGAAGGGGGCAGGGAAAGGGGGAGGGGGCAATTGGGGTGCCTCAGCCCCCCTGGTCCCCCGGCCCCGCGCTGCTTCGGCCCGGGGCCCTGGCCGCCTCTCTCATCCCTCCTGAGCTCCTTCCTCCTTCCTCCTCTCTTCCCCCACCCCTCCCTCCTCCTTCCCTCCTCCTCCTCCTCTTTACTCCCTCCTTCTCCCAGAGGAACCCCGCCCCCTGCCCCCTCCTTTCCCCACCACCTCCACTTTCCAGGACGAACACGCGCAGGGCACGACGGAAATCGTAGTCCTGCAGACGCCGGTGATACCGTGAAAACAATGGGATGCTGGGGCCAGCGGGGACTACAAACAAGATGGCGGAGGGCGTGCCAAGCCGGGAGCCGAGGATGCCGGGAGTTATAGTCCGGTTGCCCCGAGGCTCCCCGTTGCAAAGGATAGAGAAGGAGCGGGAACGATGACTACAAACAAGATGGCCTTCGCCCACGACCCGACCTCTTTCCCAGGCACTCACACGCCCTCCTGTCCACAACCCTCCGCGTGTGTGGTACCTGACGGGAGTCGCAGTCCATCTGCTGCCTTCCCGCTGCCATTTCTACTCGTCAGGAACAATGGAAAGGTGAAAAGGAACGAGGACTACAAGCAAGATGGCGGAAGAGGGGCGTACACCTGACTAGTAGTCGGTCTTATGAGGTGCGATGGGAATAGTAGTCTTCTGGCCTTCTAGTGAGCCTTAAGAATGGCGGAACCACGAGAATAAGGAGACTACCATAAAGATGGCAGGCTACCTGGCCTCTCTCCGTCGCCTCATTCTACCACCTTGGGCACCTCGCCCGCCTGTAACATCGAGATCCCCCTCCCGGTGGCGCAGAGCCTGACGGAAGTTGCAGTCTTCCCAGGTCCGCTCTATTATCTTCGGTGGAGACAATGGAAGGGGAAAGGGGCGGGGACAACCAGCAGAGATGGCGGCCGAAGGGAAGGGGAGATGGCGGCTTGGGATTTGTAGTCCATGCACTAGGGTTGTTCTCTTGTAAGAACGCGAGGAAGGACTACAATGATGATGGCGGACCATCACTTGCTCTCTGCGGCAATGCCTGCTGGGGGACGTAGTCCCTTCCTAAGTTCTCCAGAGAAAGGACATGGGCTGTTGAAATGTGCATCACGACGAACACGCCAAATTGCGAGCCTACGGAAAGCGAGAGTGTCTTTCCTCCTCTCCCCACCACCTCTTTCCGAACGACCTGCCGGGAATTGTAGTCCCACGCCTTCTACTCGCTAGTGGAGGGGGAGAATTTATGTCACCAGTGGGGCTCAATGCGGGTGAGGGAGAAAGACGTGCGGGAGATCTAAGGAATATATAATGTCCGCCCCTGCGTGTGGCAAGGACTCTTAAGGGTCCTTGAGGGTAAGGCTCTTAAAGGAAAACAACAGTAAACAGTACTGTCGCGACAAGGGAGGCGTGGTTCTCGCCGAAAGTACCATCACGCTGTTGTCCCTCGGAAAGCCTGGGCGCCTCACACCCGATGCTTATTCCCCCGAACCTCAAGGAATCAGTATCGGTATCCTCCCGGTCGTGAGGACTCCAGGGAAGAGGATCTGAAGTCATACAAAATCCCCGCCCCTCCTTGGGAAGTCACTAAACCTCGGTTTTCTCATCTGAAAAATGGGGATAATGATACCTACCACCAAGAAGAGTTAGGTGTGTTAGGATGATGTTCATGAAAGTGCCCAGCTCAGGGCCTGACACGGGGCACGTGTTGGTAGTTCCTTTTTCGAGGCTCCTTCCTGCCCAGCTCTTCTGGGATCCCAGGAATCCATCATGCCGGCAGGGGTTAGCTCCTATGAAAAGAAAACTGTGGCCGGCAGTCTGCCCCCATCTTGAGCCTCACCCCCTCCTCCACCCGCACCCCCCGCCCCCTCATCTGAGTCCTCCAGCGTCCACTACCGAGCACTGCTCCCAGGGGGCGCCCATTCTCCATTTCACTGAGGTCCTACAACCTGGCCAGATTCCTCAGCCTTCCAAGTTGTAGGTTGTGCCTACTGTCAGCCTCATCGCCAACCAGCCTTGGAGGCACCCCTCTAGCCATCTCAGCTGCCAAAGCAAACGGGACTGCTTCCCACCTTTGTACCTTTCTCACCTGCCTTCTTGATCTTCCTCCTCTGCTTGGAAAACTACTCACTTCTGACCTCCTGCTCTCCTCTCCTGTGTTTGAGAAAAGAGGGTTAGAGGGCCTGCGGAAGACTTGGTGGGTGTGGTCTTTCTGCCCGGGGGGAAGTTAACCCCGGCCAGTGTAGGGTGGTCTTAAGTTTGGAGGGACTGGGTTGAGGCTGAACTGAGGCTCCTTCCATCTCCCACCTTGTCAGGAAATCCTTGGCTCTCAGATGATTGTCTCCTCTGTGTCCTCGTTGCTTTAGCGTTGGCTTGCATGATTGTTCAGGACTTTCTCCCCCGCTTTCCCATTGCCTATTAGGTCCTTCCCCTTCTCCCATCCCACTTCTCTACTCTTCATCCTTCAGGTTTCCGTTTAAATGCTGCTGTCCCAATGAAGTCTTCCTGTAATTCCCAGATGAAATTCATTTATTGACTCACTACATTGTAAGCTTTATGAGGTGTCCACTTCTGTGTTAATTCGGTGCTTTCAACATCTCATCCGATCCTCAGAAGAATCCTATGAGATAGAACCCTTTTATAGATGAGAAAACTGGGGACCCAGTTTCCAGAACCCAGAACTCCAGAACCCACACTGAGGACTACTGCAACATCTACAAAGGGATCAAATTCAGCCAGATGTGTAAGCTTAGTTTGGAACAAAAACAATTGTTTGCAAAATTGTCCTGCAAAAATGGGTTTCCACTTTCACTTGAAATCCTGAAATCTAGTACTTTGGAAGGATGGCTTAAGACCACTCAGTGGTGGTGGTTTTCTTTGTGACGGCCTGGACTATAGGACTACAGGCCAGTTTCAGAACTAGGTCAGATGCCTCAGTCCCTAGAGGAACCGCTAGAAAGGAATAAAGGGCACTTGCCTCCTTTCAGAACTATCTGTAGCCTTGGAGTGAGCACACTGAACTCAGCAGCTGGAGCAGCCCATTTATCCTGCCGTCCCTTCCTGTCCTGGAGGCTGCTCACTGCTTTTCCTTCTCCATCTCTTCTGGATCTCTGTAGATGTTGGTAGCTTCTAGATCAGCCAGGACAGGCTAGGTTAAGTTGCAGTAACAAAAAAAGTTGGGTGGCTTCTAGCAAAGGTCTGTTTCTTACTCTTGCTGCATGTCTAGTGCAGGTGGTCTGCTCGTTCCAGTCCCTCAGGGAAGAGACTCCATCTCCATATAAGCTTCCACGTGACAGTTCTGCTCCTATTGTATTGGCCAGTCGATAACCCGACCTAACCTCAAAGGAGTCAGAACAGAGATGTCTCCACAGGCCTGGAAGAACTGGAACACTTGTGAGCAACCCTAATGACAAATACAGCTTCTTAAGAGCTCTAGGGGAAGTTTGCTGCCCCCATATAGAAGATTTTCTGGGCAAGCATTCACTAGGAGACAGCTGCTGAGTGAGCTCTTCTGTTGTCCTATGGTATGGCAACATCCACAGAAAGGAGAGAGAAGTCTGAAATACACCCAACTAGAGTGGACAGGTAAACAGAAAAATGCCTCTGTGCGAGGCATCAGTCATCACTAAAAGCAAGGTGCACCTCGGGGCGTCTGTGTGGCTCGGTCAGTTAAGTGTCCAGCTCCTGGTTTTGGCTCAGGTCTTGGGCTCAGGGTTGTGAGATGGAGCCCTGCGTCAGGCTCTGCACCCAGCTTGGAATCTGCTGGAGATTCTCTTTCCTTCTCCCTCTACCCCTCCACCCTGCTCTCCCCTGCTCTCTTCTTACATAAATAAATAAATAAAATCTTAAAAAAAAAAAAAAAGTCAAGGTACTCCCAAAGCTGACTGGATCTGATCCATGAAGATTCCAGAAATGAAATTCTCACTGATGAGTGTGGCTTCAGGTGGCCTGCTTCTCTCTCTCCCTCTGCCTCTCTCCATCTTGTGTTCTCCATCCCTCTGCTCGCTCTCTCTCAAATAATTTTTTTTAATATTTTTAAAAAATAAAATAAAAACAAGGGCTCCTGGGTCCCTCAGTCGGTTGGGCTCTTTTGGCTCAGGTCATGATCTCCGGCTTCCTGATCAGCAGGGAGTCTGGTTCCCTCTCTCTCCCTCTGCCCCTCCCCACAGCTCGTTTTTTCTCTCTCTCTCTATCATAAATAAATAAAATCTTAAAAAAATAAAAATAAAAAACAAACAGAAAATATCAAGTATGGGCAAGAATGTAAGAAACAGGAATCCTGAGGCACCTGGGTAGCTCAGTGGGTTAAAGCCTCTGCCTTTGGCTCAGGTCATGATCCCAGGGACCTGGGATCGAGCCCTGAATCTGGGCTCTCTGCTCACCAGGCAGTCTGCTTTCTCCTCTCTCTCTCTGCCTGCCTCTCTGCCTACTTGTGATCTCTGTCTGTCAAATAAATAAATAAAATCTTTGGGGCACCTGGGTGGCTCAGAGGGTTAAGCCTCTGCCTTCGGCTCGGGTCATGATCTCAGGGTCCTGGGATCGAGCCCCGCATCTGGCTCTCTGCTCAGCGGGGAGCCTGCTTCTCCCTCTCTCTCTCTGCCTGCCTCTCTGCCTACTTGTGATCTATCTCTGTCAAATAAATAAATAAAATATTTTTTAAAAAATAATAAATAAATAAATAAATAAAATCTTAAAAAAAAAAAGAAACTAGAATCCTTGTGTGTTGCGGACAGCAGTGTAAAATACTGCAGCTGATGTGGAGGACAGACAGTATGGTAGGTCCTCAAAAAAGAAAAAAGAAAAAAGACATCCATGAATTTAATGTGTAATTAATGTGTAATTAATCAGTTAATCAAACATAGAATTACCATATAATCTGGCAATC